CATGCATGGGCATAAATAGAGTGCAGTAAAACCTGGCTCATCCAGATGCCACTGAGACCAGTCAAAGATGTTCAGATTAGCAGGTGTTCACATTTGTAGGCTTTTTAAATAAGTGAGTCATTGGAAGATAACAAATTTGTGACAGAAACAAGTGTTCAGTTGAAAAGTGCTTCATTTAGAGAAGTTCAGATTTCATAAAATACAGATTTCACTGTACTTTCTGTTTGCGGCATAAATAGATTGCTTGAACTCAAACTATACAGAGTTTGCATTTTAATATAGTTCCAATTCTTCATACAATTATCTTAATATTTTCAGTTTTGATGTTACAACCAGTGATATTCCTGGACTATACGTACCTTCATCTCCCTCCAAATATCTCTCCAATTTAAAACATTCCAAGTTCATCCCGTGCAACAGGACCCGGGCTGATGAATTCAATGCAGCCAGTAGCAAGCAAACCAGCAAACATAATGTTGACACAACTGCCAAGAAAGCACAGCAGATTCTGCAGGCTACTAAAGCTGTGTTTGATGAAGTTGGAATGGAGTTCTGGCTTATTGGAGGTACCCTTTTAGGTAAAGCATTTTGTTTCTCACACATGGGGCTCTATCAAGTTAAGGTATGTGGGATAAGAAACTCAGGGAACTTTAACTGGCGAGGGACTGAGTCATGCAGGTTGTCAGAAATGGCAATGACATAATGTTTTGTTGGTTCCACCGAACAGCAACTTTGTGATCTCAATTTTGTATATGGGAACTGTATCGAAATAGCTTGGTATGTAGCTTTATTCTCATTTTGGTATAGACAATGTAGCTTTATTTATAGGTTGGTATAGACAGTGTGGTTTTATTGCTCACACTACTGATGTAGATGTTGGTGCCTGGATTACAGATCTTAATCCAGAACTGGAGACACTCCTCAAACGCAAGGGACAACCCATCAGGCTGATGTACCACTTTGGCAAGGTAAACTTACCAAGATTGAACATAATTATCCAGATTTGCTATAGAGCCTCAAGAAGGGGGTTTAGGCACTTTTAATTGGTTCATGTGGTGCACCTATGGGATTGCTCACTCAAAGATGTGGAGCTTAGCAATATATATCATCTACAAACCTATGCATTTCATCATTAAAATGAATGGCAGACACAATAATGTGTTAGAAAAGAGGCTTCAAAAAGTCTGTTTCAGCTTTATTTTCAATTTATTTGTTTAAAATATACATAAAAACAGTTTTCTGTTTCCAATGCCAACATGATTAATAATAATAATGAGTGAAAACCTATTAAATTATTTTTCATCATTTTAGCCTGAAGATGGTCTAGAGTTTGCCGTTCAGGGTTTTGGTATCAAAATGGACATATGCTTCCATTATATTGAGTCCAACTACACATGGATCGGTGGAATACGTAGCCAGTCACTAGAAAAATTACGCTGGCTTTATCCCGCCAATATAACATTATGCTCTGCTGAACTATTTGAAGATCTCTATCTTGTGCCATGTGACTCCCTGGCCCATATAGAGGCTGATTATGGAGCAAATTGGATGCTTCCGGACGATAAATGGATATGGGATAGTTCTCCACCAAATATGGTCGAAGCGGGAAAGTTTGCAGAGTCTGAGAGAAACAAAGTTGTGCAAATACTGTAACACATGATTTGGTTTTACTAATTATTAATATTAGTATTTCTTCCTTTCTCAAGTACATGTGTTACTTTAAAGGATAACGTCTGATTAGAGGAAATCAGAATCTGGACATAATATCAGAATTTAAAATGTGTTTTTATGATGGGGATAATAAATATTTTGGTTACTTATGCTTTTTAATAAGCCTTTGTGTAATTTAGATTTATCCATTTTGATGTCCGGCAATGTCATCACAGTTTTTGATCTCAAATATTACCAAGAATCAGACATTGTTAGAAGCATCAATGATTTCACAAAAGTGAAATCTGATGTCAAATCATTCACTAAAAGCTTCCATTGTAAAACATTGTCACGAAAGTTAAACGAGTTGTTGATTCGAAATATGCTTCTATGAAAAGCATATCTTGGAGAATGTTTTTAAATTAATTAGGGTATGTGCTCAGTATTTTCAAAAAATATTAATTACAGATTCTTTAAAAAATATTTAAATAATGTTCAATATTTTATTGTAGTTTTAACAACATATACATAACTACAATATGTCTTCGGGCTTCGTGGAATATCATTCCCTTGAGACTGTTCGCTGAACTATAACACGCTGAAGTAGTTGTGAAACATCTCCATTTTTATACGGTGATGTCACCAGTTTAACTGAAATGATCAGTTATAGCTCATAGTAATGTCAACAAACCCAATGCCACAGAATGGATCACCTGGAAAGGTTGTTATATGTGAAACATGCTACAGAGTGCAATGCCTTGATTCAGGTATTATGACATGACACATGTTTTCAATGCACAGTGCTTTACAATGTAGACATACAATTATTTGTAGTAGATATCCTTCTAGTCATGGCCAATGAGGTGATTATAACCTATACATAGATGGAGCATCTATTGAACAGTGGTCATAATTGATAAATGTAAATGCCCAGAAGTCTTCCTTTTGACATATTTTTATGAACATTATATACGATTGAATTTTTTTATGCGGGTGCATGAAAGGAATGTAGAAGGAATAAAGAGTAGAAGTTGGAAGCTATCTTATTTTCCAATTCATCAAAACTGTTGCCAACCTAAAAATTGAATAAGATAATTTTGAAATAAAGTCTGAACTGTTGAAATTTTAGAAAGTGGGTATGACATTAAATGATGTGAGCCAAAAATATTGTAAGATTTCTAAACATACTTTCAACTCTATCTCTTCTACTCCCTTTAATGTACACTACTTGTATACTTCCAAAATAAACTAATACTATGACTACTGAAAACTTTTTACTGCATTTTTATGGCATATTTTCAAATATGTGGTTGCAAAGTGGCAAATGCCTTACTGTGAGCCATAAGTACACAAACACACAAACCAGTAATCTTAACAAACCTTTTTTATTTAAATTTAACAATTTGAAAATAATGAATAATCTTCCCTATTTACGTATATTGTTATTTTGTAACATATTTTTATAAGCTTGGAACGTTATAGAAAATTTCTTTCTCTACTATAATACATCTTGCTGTGTTTGTAAATGCTGCCTATTAATGGGTTAAAAAAGTCAATGTTTGATATGACCCATCTTTTCCTGAATTATACGTTCAAGCTCGGCTCTGCGTTTCGAAATGATTATCTCAATGTGCTGTTTGTTGGTTTGGGCCAAGCTATCTTGATTAAAACTAACTTGGCCAAACTTCCAATTTATACTTGCCTTAAGATCGAATATGATAACATGATCCACATTTTGTATCCAAACTGATTGGTATCAAGTTAATTTTTTATGTCACCACCATAAGTGCTGACATATTGTTAAAGTCTCCAATTTTTCATGGACGTCGGTTTGTGTTCGTTTTCTGTAACAAATGGCACATTGTGACATTTTGTTTGTTAATGCCTTGTTTAATATCTTAAAGGAATATGTCTCCCAAAATACTTATAATATATGTGCCTAAAATTGGGTCATAAAAGCTTTTCAAATGGCGGACAGTTCAGTTTTTGCCTTTATTAAAAAGTGGAAACCATTTGTTTTTGCTGGAGTAGCTTTGTGGGTTATGTAATTGACCACTTCTGACATATTGCTTCTTTCCTGCTATTAAATATGTATACTAGTAATCATCTTGGAATTACGTAATTACTCAGTAAAGTGGTGAATTTTTTAGAAATGAATGATCTACATACCCTTAACAAATGTTCCATTTTTGGACCACTCTGTATTAGCCCAGCATGCCCAAAAACGAATCATTTTTTATATTAAGGAACATGGTTGAACTAATTGAATCAATCCTTCAAGCAGTTTGGCAGCAAATGCCCAGACGAGAAGACTGTGACGCCGCCACCCGCCAAGCTGACGTGAATAGTGTACTTCTTTTAGGTACGGTAATTAAGAAGTCATTTGTTTGTGCGCTGCTTAGCATAGCATTTCCTAATTATCGTTTGATTAATTGTGATTTGTTTCATTAACTTAAGATATACCATTTTAATCAAACTAGTTAAATGTTGGTTCTCTTTACTATATTCCATCACTGAAGTTCTCCAGGATGTACATCTTCAGAGATCCTGCGTCTGTACCTCGATCTGTCTCCTTTAGGGTATAGGAGTCCAACGCAATTTTGGTGGAGATTTTTACAATATATTTGTACGTAAGAATATTTGTAATGCTATATATCTATGGTTTTAGTGCAAAAATATTCAACACATAGCTTTTGCTCCGCACTTTGAACCATATACCTTTGTCAATGGTTAAATTGCTTATTTTACCCAGAATGAATCCATTTTTTACATGTTACAGGGGGGTGGTTGATGAGGGTGAGCCAAAAAGGTAACCCAAACATGATTTAATAACCCAAATGTTGGGTTTAAATCACATTTGGGATTTTATTGAACCTTGTTCAATGTTCTTTCATTCTACTAAATTTCATCGGTCTATTCAACGGTCACGATTTTATGGGCATTTTACAAAACGTGCTCCAAATGCTGAAACCTGCCAAACGATTCACCTGTTATCTTTGTTGCTACTTATTTCAAAGATGATGTCTACAGGAAGATGCCAGTCATGTGAGCGCGTAGTCACTAGTTAGAACAACTTCACCAGATGCGTTCAAGTTTGCCTCCAAAGACGAGATCGGTATTTTGAGCATGTCTTGTAAAATGCTCATAAAATTATGACCGTTGTAATTAGACCAATGGAACTTGGTAGAATGAAAGAACAATAAACGAAGGAAATATGACTTTGAACCCATAGTGAATGACTGAGTTACTAATATTTCTTTGGGTATGGGTTACATCGTTTTTGCCCACCCTGTACATGGCATGAGTGACATAAACACAAACAATTGAATTATTTATAATTTTATAACACATTTTTATTGCATAATTTTTCAATCCACAATTGCTATGAACACATGAAACAAAACTATCCAACATATAAAACAGTATGTATTCAGTTGATTTTTGACTCTTAGAATATGAATATTCAAATACTAGAAGCAGTAATAGTATGCGGCGGCAAGTTCGTGCATTTGTGCTAGTATTTTGTAAATGGCGAATTGGACTTCTCAGAGTTGTGATTGGCGTTGGAATGAAATCCTCGGGTATATACAGATGTAGGTTGAACAATTGCTTAGAAATGATGATCATTTAAGCAGCATTCTATAATCTACAGTGTTGATTGTTGTTGTGACAGGCCAGTAAATGCAGTTATGTACAAAACTTACAAATGCTCGCACAATTATATATTTACATCATACGAAACCATATAATTAGGACGCTTGTAGTCCAAATCACCTTTTCTGTATGTCAATCAAACTTAAAAATTAACTAATCGAAGGACCACAACCGTGCAATATCATAAACAAAAATACATGCTTATTTTTCATATTATTTTCATTTGCTGTAAACATCGTGGCCTCCTGTGATTTAGGGAATTTTCGAAAATAAAAAAGGAAGCAGGAAAGCATCAAAATCCAAGATATAAAAAAGTTTTGAGATTAAAATTTGAATGCTTTTTCCATGTAATATTGCACCATGGTCCTTTGACTGGTTATATTTTGTTGACTGATGCACAGAACAAGTGGTTGGGGCACGTACTGAGATCAGTTCCAATACATTGAAATCCATTACTTACTGCTATAATACAAGTAGTCGGGTTTATTTTATTTTCAAAGGCTTTCAAAAATCAAATAAATTCCGACTACGACAGATTTATATATTTTAAGCCATGGTCTACAAGATGGAAGTTTAAATTTGAGATAATGTGGGGTAGTTCATAATCACCAAGGGTTATTTCAAATCTTGATGAAGCTTGGAACAAGCAAAGGGAACCATGTTTTTGTTGAATGACGTTAGTCCATGACTTCCATCGGCCGTGCCTTATTGCGGTGGATTACAAGAGGCATTGTCTGGTTTAGAAGTGACCACGAATACGCTATCCCCCCATAACTGGAGGTGTATCTTTCATAATAGCTCCATATACAACCCAATATACAATATTAAACAGCAGAAAACTACATGGAAATATTTTTCTTGAACGTTTATCTATCATTCGTGCTTTTCTTTTACCGTCCCAATCGGGCATTGTCGCTTTCATTTGTTTTGTACTATTTCCCGAGGATTCCTAAAATACAGAAAACAGATATTCACCATACTTCGATCAGAAATCAATTCAAGACTGTAATGTGATGGTGATGGTAAACATATGGTAAAAGAGAAGGCCGACACGATAAGTTTCAAATGCATATGCACATGTTAGCAATACTACAATATACAAACTATTCTAACGTACATCACCAGATCCCATATTGTCGGCCTTTCTGCTACCAATCATTCCGGCAAGTTGTTTTCTCCTCATCCTCATGTTCATGTTGAAGCTTGTACTCTGTGTCTGCTTCCGGGACATAACATTCACCACTGCATATTCCAATAGAGATGAGAATACAAAGATGAGGCATACGCTCATCCATACATCTATTGCCTTGATGTAGGAGACACGAGGCAAAGAGGATCTGGCTCCTGAACTTTGTGTGGTTGTTGTTAATACAGTCAACAAACCTTCAAGTAAAAGTTATATTAATGTGAATTCGTAAAAACCATTTGTCCAATATTTCAAACATTACCATTATTTAAGTAAGTAAATATTATATATTTGCAAAACAATTTAATGAGGACAATACATACATGTATACCAGAACTTTTGGGTATGACTGTTGCGAATGTCTGAATGAATGGAGGGTGTGTGAAAGTGATTTAATATTTTATCTTTGCCTTGTGTATTATTTCATGTTTGATTTAATAAAAAAATTATTTAAGAAAGTCATGTTTACAGAGAGTTCTTGCTCCAAAGCCCCGTACCTCATATTCCCCCGCTCTATGACAGAGAGGGTATGGGGTTACAAGGCCTCGAAGAAAAACTAAGCATAGAGCTACTCTATCGATTAAGTAGACGTTATATACTTAATCAATTTATTTATGTGTGTATGTTCATGCTCTTGAAAGCCCATGGTTTCATCAAAATGTTGTTTCTAAGACTTTTTTAATTGTTCATTTGATTAGTGTTTTGAGATATTGTGCAGGAAAATACAATATTGATGCAATTCTCCTCCATGCTTTAACTGCCACATGCTTTTAAACATCACATTGGAAATATGCAATACAGGTAAACGTATGTACCTATAGTGACTCTGGCTGGTACAGCATCAACATTAATCCAGAATCCAACCCAGGAGAGAATTACAATGAGCCAACTGGGCATATAAATCTGAATTATGTAGTAGCCCAAGTCCCGCTTCAGTTCGAAGTTGATCTGGAGACAAGGATAAGCACCTAAAATAATGACAGCATATTTATTTGTTGCGGACCAGTTTTACAATTGAACTCCATAAACTCTCTAATCGTGCATATGCAAGCTCGTATATGTGAATATGTTAATCATTTTCAGACACTGTTTCTTTGTACATTATTTGGGATATTTGAGATTTGTTTCCTTATACCCAGTCGTACTCTTAATATGGGTGTTTAAACAATCCCTTCCTATCTGTGTTTATAATGCTTTTTTGTGAGAGTTGTGGTTACATATTTTCCCTACCCGTGCTATAGTTTTGTGAGCAGTCAATGAGATGGGATTTGATGAGACGAAACTGTGGCATCTCCAGATGATCCTCGGTTGCTACAGGGGTATCCCACCAATTAAAGTAAAGTGTGCTCTTGGTGTAACCAACTACAAAAAAAATATTGTATGATAAAGATATATCTGAAATATTTATCAACATATATTTTAAATGGTAATCACTGCCTCTTTAAAGCTAATTTTGATTCTGTCGAGTGTCATCATTTATTGAAATACAACATTACACATACATTTACTCCGATTTTAATGGTCAGGTTCATTGAGTTGCCTGATCACGAATCAATACATTGAAATATCTGATATCTTCTTACCTTCGTTTGTTGAGTATTTCCTCTAAAGTACAACACTAATATTTCATCACATGATACATCCGTACATTGGATAGTTAAAATCCCAAATATTATATATTTTATTATTACTATGTATATTTATTTAAACATTCATACAAGTAATAATTTTAGTTGCATTCAATGAATGAAAATGATGTCTATAATGAAATAACATGAATAAAACGAATGTTGTAATACTATGCAATATTATGATTGTTCTCAACTGAGCCATTTGTTTTGGGAGTATATGGAGAACAAGATGCATCAATTGAAAAAATATCTGCTGATACAAAGGTAACCGCAGCGTCAGATATTATGTACATGTTCTCTTTCAAGAAATTCTACATTATGTCTTATTTACAAATATGTACAATATTCCTTTCCTATATGAATGATTGGAAATAGTTTGAAGATATTGTACAGACATAACATCTATATATAAAATTGTCTGCAAGCAAAGTAATTAACCCCCCATAACAGGGGGACTGTCTTGAATAATAACACCATAAACTATCCAATACACAGCATTAAATATTAAAAATGATGTTGGGAATATTCTCCGACACATTTTGTCAATCATTCGTGCTCGAAATTTACCATCCAAATCAGGAATTTTAGGAGCATCTAAGAACTCATCATGGGACTCCTTTGTTTCACCATCCTAAAACAGAAATCCAAACATCAACACTAATTGAAGTAGCGAATATTATTTTCAAAGATTGGTGGAGTTTTCATCGATATTGTGGAATTCCTACCTCGCTGTCGCTCCCTGAGCTCTTTTTCCTAAACCGAGAACGTGGTTTCGCTGGCTGAGCTCTCATGAATGGAAGAGGCATTTGTTTAGCCATAAGTGCTGGTGTGATGCTTCTCACTTGCTTCCTACTAAACACATTCACCACAGCAAACTCTAATAGAGATGCAAAAACAAACAGCAGACAAACACTCATCCAAACGTCTATGGCCTTGACATAAGATACCCTGGGCAGGGAAGATCTGGCTCCAGAGCTCTGGGTGGTCGTGGTCAATACGGTCAGTAAACCAATAGACACACGAGCAGGAATGGCGTCTACACTAATCCAGAACGCCACCCAGCTTAGGATGACAATGAGGATGCTTGGAACGTAGATCTGAATGATATAGTAGCCTAAATCCCGCTTCAATTGGAAATTCACTTGCAGACAAGGATAGGCACCTGAAACAAAAACCACCACGCCATTTTGCTACACAATCATCTTCATTTACAACAAATAGAAGCCACAAAGGAAAACTACATGAAGCTGAATATACTTTCATTGAACATACCAGTAGTGTAGTTTTGTGAGCAATCTATTAGTTCTTCGTTGATAAGCCTGTACTGAGGCATCTCGAGATTTTTCTCTTTATCGACAGGGTTGTCCCACCAACTGAAGTAAACTGTATCCATTGTGTACCCAACTGTAAAAGCAAACAACCAATATACATGTGCAATACATCTAAGGCGTTATTTCTATCCTATCGCAAGTTACACAATCCGAACACATCATGGTTAAAGTACTACAGTGATTTACTTTATTGATCATTGACGTGCAATGCTTTTGCTATGGACGACAACATATTTTGACATTACACGTGAGACAGTGGGATTTGACGTTGCACTGGTGACATCGAGTTTTTGACATAGTACATGTGACATAGGGGGTAGCTACTGATAAAAACATGTTTGGCGCATGATGGATTGGCCAGACACCTGATGAAATCTAATGAGCTTTCTGCGCTAGATAGTGAGGAAAAGATAGATATAGGCAGACTTACAAGCATGCAGACGGCACTGCAGCATGCACAAAGAAACAACGAAGTATTAGTAAATAGAATAACTGTAAAAGTTTTACATTCTTATACCATTACCATAAAGTTAGCTTAAGAGACGTACAGATTTTAGCAAAGGATTCTAAGAGAATAATTATGATTATAGCTAGCATATGGTTTCACTATGGTTCTAATTTGGGTATTTTTAAAATTTAAATAAACATAAAAAAGAGCAAAATAAATTATGAAGTTTACGTACCGTAACGCTGCGCGCAAATTTTGATTTTCAACCCCTTCACACATCTTTGGACTTTATAAATCGTCATCTTTTATATCATCTTCCTAAACTTAGACCCAAATCAGTCTTTCAAATTGTTTACATTTTGTGAGATGACATGCAGTGCTTGTTCTGTCAATACACATAATGCATATGAAACAAATCTAACTGGGCTATCAAAGTGCTGAAACCAGTTCATGGTCGGGTGTTAATGTGAAGGGGTTCATGAACAGTCGGAGTTGTATACTGTGAGATAAATGCAGAGAGGTTTGCAAACCGCCCATTGCATCTTGCATATCTTGGGCTCCAGGGGCGATACCTAGTGCAGCACAAAGATGTGAGTGTGTGTACAGTAACTCGTGGTAGACAGGTGAAGATAAGCCTGGATATAAGACAGTGACAGGCGCGAGATTTACACACAGGTGGATGCTAGTCTAAAGTACGCACAATGCTGATGTTAGTAGAGACATACATATGGTTTGGCACACCTAACTGGACGATACTCCTAACAATAAACCTGCTCTAATAGATATAGGTTGTTAGTAGAAATACAGAGTGTCCATAAAGTCTCTACAATTACAATACAAAATTCTGTGTAAGGTGTAAAGGGACATAATGGACACCCTGTATATTCAGAGAGAATAGTGCTAAGATATAGGTCCAACGCAAAGGAGTCAGCAGTTAATCCTTGCTTCGATTTATTGCCATGATAATCCTTAGCATATCTGAATTAGTTGGTATATCACTTTAGTTAAGCATGCATTTCATTGCAAGTGCACATTAGGTTAGTTTTAGTAAGTATAACAATGTGCAAAACACACTTTAACATACGCTTGCAATCAGTGCATTAGTCACACCATCTGACTGTTTTATTTGGTGTTTTGTTATAAATAAGCAACTGAGTTCCTTGATTCAATTGTTGTTTTGCCCATCGGCTCTTGGAAGAAAAGACAATTATTTTCTAATTATATCAAGCGATAGCATTTGCTAGATTTTAACACTGCATAAACTACTTTTTCAATAAATGATGACACCTCACTAAGATTTAGACTGTGTTATTTAATCAGTATCATATATGAAGCAAAATGTGTAATAAAGAAGTTAATATTTGTAGTATAGATAGACTATGTCAAATCAATTTAAGGCATTATTATGAAAGATCGATTCTTCTTTTGTAAATTAGGAAAATTGCACTTACAACTCTCTATCATGATGGGACAGAACTGTGTGTCCATGGGATATTTTGCCAGGTTCATCGGACACGACAATGTAACAGTCAATCTGGAAAACAGTTTCATGATTCAATACCTTTAAATCAATTATGTTGTATAAATCAAAAAACAGTTTCTTGCAGCCTTCAACTTCCGGCAAATTATAATGTATTAGTTTTCAATTCTGGGAGGTTCTTTGCAACTATAGTGTTACAATACTCACATCTCATTTTGTGGATTTGCAATTTATCGTTTTTTTGATTAACAGCGGCAACGTATCCAACCAAGATTTCTCTTGTATAAACTACTGAATTATACTTTCTTGTTGTTAATGACATAAACTAGTTTAAGACTCTGGATCTGTGCTATCTATCTTAAAGATCAATACGATATACAGCTTTTCAGTTACTGGAACTCTTTAATGGTGTTATATGGCCATTTCTTATGATCTATAATGCAACAGATAATGATCCATGTCACAAATATCACTCTAAAATACTCAGCAATGTTATTCAGGAATAAAAAAACTCATAACCCTTCATATTTGAACAGTAAAATATATTAAGTGTCCAAACTATTGTCTGTTAAGGATCATTTTAAACAGTTGATCCAATAAATTGATATTAGTGTCTGATATATTATGACTGGTGTACTTCCTAAGAGTTGATATATAATGTTAGTGTTATAAATGTATATAAGTAATGACATTGCACTCACTTCATTGCATACCATATTTTGCCATCGTCATATAATCTCATTAAACGATTGGGTATTGTGACGTCATGAAATGCTGCTTTCTTTTCATTTCTAAATGTGGTGTCAGGTACCCAAAGCTGACTCCACATCCCATCAGCCAGTTTTATCATACCCGATTCACCCTTTTTCCTTTTGTCCTTTTTAGCTAATCGTGGCTCATACCATGTTTGACGAAAGTATATGTTCACCGAATAATCCTGTAATTAGAAAAAGGAATATTTATGTACAAGTAGCCTACATCTATAGTAAGGTTATACTTACTCAGTTTTGAATTCTTCATATTTACATTCACAAAAGTTATTAAAAAAATTACCACAAAGTGTGAATGACTGCACTAAAATGATGATGGACCCATTGCTTTTCTTCTGGCATTATTTTGGAGTGACACCTATCCCACTTATTGTCATTTAGCTCAAGTGACAGATAATCGACCTTTTTGTGTATAGAAACTAAGTGTTCATGTTATCTCATTTTCAAGAAAGGATAGCTCAAATTAAACCTGTGGATTTCAATGACACTTAATGCCTCAGTCAAATTTGCTACAGCAACCGTAGTCCTAAACGAAACAGTTATAACTCCAGATTATAATATTTCACAGCGAACATACGGCCTGTAAAAATGGGATGCACGACATGGCGACAGACGATTTGTATAGTCGCCAATCGATCGTGGTCTACAATCGTCGTGTGGTCGCCATAGAACGAATGTGACTTAGGCGTAAATATTCACCCTTGATGTTTCCCTCTAATATTCAAGAAAATGCCAAAGACGTGATATTTAGGGCCCCTTGGCCTAGAATTGACCATATAATGAACTGTACGCAGTCTTCAATTTTGAGAGGGGGGCTTCCTTGCTCTTTCGTGTTATGAAAAATATGTTGTCTGAAGAGGATAAGTGAACTAGATAAAATCTAATCAATAATTCTTATTGCATGAATATATAGTTAATCACATGTCTTATTGTACCAGGTTGTTAGAATTCAATAGTCTATTGTTATCAAATGGGAATTAGATATGCCACTAAGAATTCTTAACATGGTTTTTCGTTTATACATGTATATCATGATCGATTTCTATGCACTTGTAGATCTTTATCTGATAATAGTGTTTGATAACAAACTGACAAAACAATGATTTTTTACTTTTAGTAGTATGTGTAGGACCGGAATATACGTACACTTACCATTGTTTGCTCACTGATTGAATAAAATGTGTTTATATATATTCCTATTTTGACTTCTGTTGGATCAGACCCATGTGGGGAGTCCCTTTTGTCATACTTAATGTCCTTTCCTCGAATCTTTATCGTCCTAAAGCACAATATAGCATTTGATTATAAAAACTATTCATTATACATGAAATATTGCTTCATTAGTTGATATTGTACATCAAATTTGGATACTATTTTACACTATTAAAAACAAATAAAATGTTCAGGAAAATTATGATAATAAATTTAAAAGATATAATAAAAATATAAGAAGCATCTAAAATAAACTAACATATAGAGAGCAGAAAAGGACAAAGTGAAATAGCAAAGTGTGAAGAATCATTTTGAACAAAATAGACGGATGAAGGGAAGTGTAAACTCGGAAAACAAACGTATGTATTATATAAATAGAACTATTGGATTTGAATTGTGTGTTAGGAACATTCTCTTGGAAACTATTGTTTGATCATTCAAAAATCATAACACAATTAAAGTGCAACATGCAACCAAAGAGTAAACATTATACACACTTTCTTGACACAAACGTTCTCATCTAGAAAAGAATTGGACAGATACATTTGTAAAATGCACATACATATCACGACCAGGTACTATAAGTGATATGGGCATTCAGCATACCTGTAAAAACGTGATAAATGATGATGTTCACTAAAAGGAAATATTAGATCAACACGTCAAAAATGACGCCATGCTACATGAGTCCCGGGTGAGTGGCGTGCAATGATGTTCCAATCTAAAGGGCCTCCAACTACAAACATACCTAGCTTTTTCAACTCTAGGATCATCGCTGCATTAATATAAACATAATCCATAATATTGTCAAAGATTATATCAGGTACCTCTATTATTTAACACATCCACAATTTCCGTAAAATGTCCTGTAAACAGGGATGCCAAGGATAAGTATTTGTGAAGGGTAGAGGTGAAAATCAATTTTGTTAAACTGCAGGCAAAACCTATATTAGTATTTTTAATGTATAGATAAGAGGAAGCCGGCACGCGTTTCATAAAGCAAAGCGTTGGATAGGTATATTGGTATATTTGAGCGCGCTAAAGCTGTGTTTCCTGCTACCTTTCTCCAAGCCAATTAGGCTTAGGCCTACGGCCTCGGGAACCCTTCCTCCTCTTTACAGTTACATTTCTACAATATAAAAAAGTATTGTGAACAGTTTGAGAAATATACCAAGCGGATCTCAAACATAATAGGATCCATGAATTGATTATATGAATCCGGATCCAAAAAATCCAATCCGAGGTTTATTCACGACCAACCTTAAAACGGAGTATCACAAACATGAATCAGATTACATAGTACAAGTTATTAGTTGGTTGAACTATTAAAATTTAAATTGTTAGGTGAACAATAGCATGCTTTTTAAAAGGATTGCTTCAAACATGTTCTTTATTATTTTGCTGCAATATTACGTTTACCTGTAAAGTACAAAAGATTTTATTGAATGATGGAGTCAATAATGTCAATCAATATTTGCAAATATTTGCAATCTTAACATTTTCAACGTTTTTTGAAAGCGACAATGTATATCACTGGAATTAAGTATGTGCATTTTGGAATTTAGGACTAAGGCAAAATTGGAAATAAAAGAATGAATATAAGCCAACAGTCTCCACGCACGATCTGACTCAAAGTTCAAGATACACAGAGCCGACGATAGACCATTATCTTATTCCTAAATTGCCATATTTGAACCAAGGGACAAGGAAATATTGACAAGGAAACGTCATATTTAAGAGAATGGAGTTTGCATTAATTTATGTTAATCCCAAGTTGAACATTACCATAGTTACCAGTCAGTAAACAGCTGTTTTATTACTTTTCAAAATCGTATATTTTATTCTCAATGAGGCACAATTGTGCGATTAAGAAAAATAACGACTTAAATATATTTTAATCTTGTCAGGAAAAAGTTCACGATTTTTATTTAGTATTACATAATTGTATATCATTTATTCCAGAGGGATAAATCATAGAAAGATTCGCCATCGGCTCTTCCGATTTATCAGAGACACATAATATTTATATGTCTCTGGATTTATGTATGTCAGGATGAGAATGATAAATATATATAATAACTAGGTCTCCTTTTTCTAGATAGAGTGCTTATAATCACCCCGTTATTTATTTTTATTATGAAAATGGATGCATGAACTTACCGATCTCCTCCCCTTGCATCTAGATCTTTGGCGTAAATAGCCAATGTTTCTATGACAACCAGAAGCAGGATGTATATGTCAGTTTCAATCCACATGTCAAAGTGTAGTCATCCCCTCAGTTCACATCATCGCCTACAAGCACATAATGTACCCCACTAAATTAATGGAAAAATCGGACATTTTCTCGTGACTCGTGTCTCTGGGCGACTTTCCTTTTAATTTTGTGACAGGTTATAAAAGTGTGGAATGATTAACTTTTGAACTAGCTCATAAATATTGCATCCCTGCTTACATTGTTCAGTCAGATTGATTGCACACGTTTACACGTCCTTTATCGTCATTTGACACATAATATTGCCTGCTGATACGGTGACTGACACTGTGGTTATTTTGGTAATTTGCAGTAAATGCTAAGTTACAATATACTTTACCATCACCCTTATTCAAGAAAATGCTTATTCATCAACTCCTATAGAAAAGTCACCATTAGCTCAGCAAATTGGCAAGAAGAGTCTTAATGAACTATCTTGTCCTATATTGTAGCTAGACAAGATTTACTATTTAATTCCCTTAAATATTTCTTTCATCACGCACTTCAATTTCACGTTTAAAACTGTACTCCGGCTCAATGTACAGAAACTGTCATAACATCCTCATATTCAGCCAAGAGTAACCCATGTCAGTGTTCCCCTAATATACCTTATCCACTTACATGTACATTCTCTGTTATTTGCCGTAACCTGGTATGATAGAGATATAATTACAGTAACTTATAGTGAAGCTTCTTATCGACTTTGCTTTTTATAGTCTAGCTAGGCATATGAGAAGTAAGTCGTTTGTTTAATCGGCGTGCTTGTCTCCGGATGCATTTGGAAACGTTGACAAGCTAATTCCAGAGATTTACAACTTGTTACTTGAACGCCAATTCTTAATCCAGTATGGACCAGTGTATGCATTCTGATATTGTTGATGGAACTCTACCTTAATAGCCAACAATAACCTTCAATGGCAACTAAATGTTATAAGTTAAATAAGAATCTGAATTAACAGAACCCTATGTATTGAATTCAGTCTTTTACATTCACTTGTCATAGAGTTTCATTGTGGGAACTAACTCTTTGGAGTTTATTTGCATTTGTGTAGAATTACTCTTTTTTCTGTAATGTAAATAAAATTTGTTTGAATAAATATTGTCATTAACAAATGTATTGAGATAAGGTTCGTCTTACGGTTCACCATGTGGAATGCTTAACCAGATTTTGTATAGAATTCCAATTTGTAAACTATTACTTATATGCTGAATAATTTTGTTATCCCTCAAAAGCAATTTTGTATCATGGCACAGATGCCCTTCTAAATCAATAATTAATTGATTTAGATTAAGAGATTAGTACAATTTTATTGTCCTTATTGTACATTTAAAATAAGAAGAAGACTGTTTTATTCACAGCGGTCTGAAAATGTTCGAAGGACTGGTGAGCCTCAAAGGTTAATCTTTATTTGAATTTACTTATTCCCTCAGATTCCCCAAATTCTTTATAATAGAAGTTAAGTTACATTTATATATAAATGATTTACAGGGTGGTCAAAAAAACGGAAACCCTGCATTTTCCTCATATCTTCGTCATTTTGGGTAATTATTCCCTGAAATTTGACACACATGTACAACATTCAATTTCCTACCAGCTAACCATATTTCATGACCATCAGATTGATAGTCACAATGGTACAGCACTTTGAACAAGATGCCCCAGTGTGGCCACCATTGGGCTATTGGCAAATCTGAACAGGTTGTCAATGATCTGACTACATTTTTCAGCAGATAAGGCCTGAATGACATGGATGATCTGCTTTTTGAGGTCTGCATTTGTCCTGGGGTCATTCTCGTACACTCATTTATGGTGTATCACCACAGGTTGAAGTTAGGTAGGGACATTTTGGATGATAGGTGCAGGTTTGCCGAAAGTGCAATATTGGCCAATGGAGCATGTTGTTTAAAGTGCTGTAACATTGTGACTATCAATTTGATGGTCATGAAATATGGCAGGCCGGTAGGAAATTGAATGATGTACAAATGTGCTAAATATCTGGGAGTAATTTCCTAAAATGACAAAGATATGAGGAAAATGGCGACAGGGTTTCCAGTTTTTTTGACCACCCTGTACATACTAATTATGGTTTTCTACTTAACTCGGAGCTTATATGTATTTTCGTAGATAAATTGTTTATTTGATATGATGGGAAAATAATACTTTTGAATTATGGAAGCTGATGAAGGTTAATTCCCAAATGCCTCACATAATATGTATACCATGTGAATAATGACTTTGAAACCCAACCACTCTGAATTTTCCGGAAAGCTGAATATGATTATATAGTTTAAGGTCACATATTTAGCAGTACTTCATTGCCGCTATTAATGAAATCTACTAGGATATAAATTTTTATACTGGATCCCCATATCCACAGACAAAACATATACTAGTAAACATTCTGTGAACTTTGAATTTCAAAAAGGCAATTAACAAAAATAATTAAATTTAAATTTGGGCCAATCAATTTTTGATGACGTCATCAATAATGTCAATGTTTCATTCTATATACAGTAATAACTCAAGAATGTTGTCTTTCAATTCTTTACTATACATTAACTTTCTTTTGATCAAGTGAAGATACATGCAATATTAGTTATTGATATTCTCTAAAATATATTGTATGTACGATACACAGCTGTATATTTGGTATTTGCCATTTATTATTTTACATTTCTCTCTATTTGTACAAATGGAATACAAATGTCACATGTTATTTTGAAAAGACAAAAATAAAATTAATCCTGATGCATCGAAGTAATGTTTTGACGTATAGACTAAAATCTGCCCAGTATGCATTAGTTTCGAATATAGACTATGGTGGAATTAGCTTCATTCGAATCTCGACAGACATGTGGAATATTTAACTCAGATGTATCAATGAATAGAGTCAATGAACCATATCGAACAGATCTTTTAGTGCTCTGATTACGTATAATTCATTAATATTTGTACCCAACTTTACAGGATATATCATATGCAATACAGGAAATGTAAAGATGCACCCATGCTCACATCTAGCATATGGTATCCTTGGCAAAACCCCAAAATGCACCAAATGAATAATTCAACATTATTGGAAAGAGCTTTATGTTACGTCAGGTTACACAAAAAAGTCTACGTTTAATGCAATCAAACAATATTGCCATTTCCCAAAATAATAATCAGATCTATATATAACAGTAACATTAACCCAAAGCAGAATTATCTTTTAAATTAAGTTGACTGTTAGCCTCTGGTATCGAATATCTGTCTTGTTATCATTCCCCCGCATTCAGTAATTCTTAAAAGTTTTGAACGATTTATAATGAAATAAATACAAAGCTGAAGGGATGATTTTGTTTTGACAAGAGCATGTGTCTAAAAGAACCAATAGATTGCCCAGCTTTATATGGATGTATCCCCAATCGAACTCTTCAACTGACACACTGAAGCACATTATAAAACGTATATTAGTTTGATAACATCCCAGAGGGCATCTCGGATGATTGTAACGAATAAAATAAAATACTGCCCGAAGCATTGCTAAGACGGCCAAGACATCCTAATAAAGTCAACTGAAATTTCCTGATTTGAAATAATAAATGTTATTTATCTAAAATATAGCCTGAAACACGGACATTTTCCAATTCAAGTTAACGTGTTTATTGTTTCGCAGCTATTGTTATAATATGGTTCATTCCATTGACAACAGATGTCCAATTTGTATGTATAAACTGTTTGTGGTAGTGTTCTATAAATCAACCTAAAGGCCTTATCAACAATTACCATATGTGAATCGATTGTGATCTTCAGTTGGATTGGATGAACTTGTTTTTCTCATTAAATCCGAATATGTAACTGGTAACGTACACGTGACTTCAAATATCACTTACCATCAACTCATCCTGAAAATATATTCCTTAAATAGGAATAATTCTAGGTTACGCAAAAATTATTACTTTTCATATCATACTTTTTGTAAGTTGTAATAAACTCTTCTTCGGTTGAGATCTTTCTCTGTAGCTATATTACTAATACAAGCCCATTGTGTGATATAATCCGGTCATATTATACCATACCCCTAAAACGTAGTACTACGAGTCCAGTAGCTAATTCATTGAATGAATAATTGATACCAACACTGTAACTCACGAATGGAAGAACTGAATTTCTAATGTTAACCTGGATATCATTTGAATGTGTGACTAATACATATAAAATAGGATGAACCGCCAAAACGATTATATGATTACAAGCAAAATGAGTCAGATGTCTACTAGTCATCAGTATTCATAAAAATGCCGACTCGGAGCCTACTTTAGGTACACAAAGCTTTCTTTTGAAGATTCGAAATCTAACTATTAATAAGCGTAAAAATTTCACTGTCATTTGACATATTTAACATATCCAGATTTCATTTTATACAATGGTCTGCAGAATAAGAGGAAATATGCATATATTGTATGATGAGACTATCAAGATAATGATTAACACAGTACAACCTTTCAAACAGTACAACCTTTCAAAGTTACTACAGCAAAACTACAGTGTAACTTTACTTATGCATGATGTCAATCTACATACCAACTAAGGCGACATATAGAGGAGTTTGCAGGGTCTGTCCTTTGTAGAGTTCTAAAACGGACCCCTGATAGCGATCCTATACTCACAATTCGTAAAAAGGATATTTACCATGTAAACCCCTACCTCCAAGAGGTCTCGAGTCCTTAGAAGACCTTGCGTTTTGTGATTGACCCCGCAACGTAAAAAATCCCCACATCGTGTCTGAAAGACTCGTTAACCACCTCACAACGTTGCTCTCGTAAGTGCAGTGTGTCTGTTTCAATGGGACGTATATATACACTACCAAACCAGTATATAATATAAATAAATACAAATGTAACGTCTAATTAGTGTAGTTTTTAGGGTAGTTTTTGGGGATACACTTAAGATTTCAGTTGTAAGAAAAATATCAAACGCAGCAATTGAGGTACCATTGCTGAATATCCAAACAATTACAGAAGATAACGGAACCAATTATAAAACTCAAGGATAATATTACTGAAGATTAAAGACTATATTGATTTGTTTCAGGATATGTGAAGGGGCCCTACATGATACAGGCAATAGATCTAAATTCAAACAATTGATCCAGATCACCTCTACATTACCCGATGATAATTTAGTATATATTTGTGCTATTACAATTAGATTTTCAATTTGGTATAAAGTGTTCGTACTGTTTTGTCTGACATAGTCGTGAAGACAACATTATTAATTCTAACTATTATCGATATCGTTATTCTAGATGCCTTAGATAAATAGACATACTTTCTATTTTCAGTTGTTTTATCTTTTCTAATATTGCAATAAAACAGAGATCATCATTATTAAGTATGTGTCTGGCCAATCAATAAAGCAATAAATACTTCTGGTAATGAGAAGTGGCTTGATAGTTATTGAGGTTAATTCAATGCTGGGATAACTATTTCATGATTTTTACTCAGCGATGCATGCAACAAATAAAACACTGGTTTATTGGGCCAATATAATAATGGGGCAAAAATGCTATGTTTCCATTCTGATTTAACAGATTCCCTCTTTATCCATCCTACAAGATAGGACGTCACTGATATACAGCAGCTATGTGCATGTGGAAAGAAGTGAAATACTCTTGGACCAAAGATGTTTTTATCTAATACATAAGAGTATATTCCAAGGGATCAGCTGTGGATCCCATAATGCAGTATTTCTAGATATAAAAATATTTTTGCTATGTTTGGTGGGTTACGTTACGCACGTTATATTACGTAACGGTAAACTCTTCATATTGTAATCAGAATTCATTAAAATCAAAAATGCACTCATAACCCCACCAAGCCATATCAACTTAAGCTAACAATATCAACCTGTGTATGTAGCACAGAAAGCAGAAATAAACAGATTTGAAGAATATTCTTATTACATTCCAACGTTGATAGATAATCAGTCA